CAGCCGCATAGTCAGTCTCAACAGTCTCGGTTCCAAGTCTTGATAATTTGCAAACCACCGCACAGGATATATAAAGAGACCCTACGCAGATTGCCCGGGAAGATAACAAAAGGCTGTCGAAGGTTCGAATTCGGATCTGTTATGGCCAGTTCACCAACAAGCGAGTCTGAGAGGGAGAGACAGTTGGATTGGATTCTCTGTTATCAAGCGTGGATTGATTTGTGCGTTGCCACCTGCAAGCCGGGATGATGGTCGGCTGAAAAAGAAGAATTAAAAAAAAAACAAAAATGAATCGTAGGAGGTGCCCAAGACGAAGCTGCTTTCTGATCCTTATTTTTTAAGACGACGATCTTCACCCAGCCGACAAGAGCTCAAAGCCGGGTACATAGATTATCGTAGATCTCCCCCTCTGGCCAGGCCTCTGGGGTCAACAGAGACACAGGAAAAGGCGCGGCAAAAACGCCAAGGCCAAGAGATCCTGGAAATCGCTCAGACGAGAACTGGATTGGCTGGCATGGATTGTCTAGTGGGTTTATCACCAAAGTGCCGCGGAAATTCTGGCAGAGGAAATTTCCTGGAAGCGAGTTCAAAGAGGGTATATAGAGATAGAGGAATATGTAAAACGGGGGAAGGTCAATTTATTACGTGGCAGTATGTAGCTGGAACTTCCACCAGACTTGTTCCCGGCCAAATATAGATTTATAAGGGTGCAGGAACGATTCAGGGGGCCAAGAGCCCTAAAGTGATACCGGAGCTGGCACAACAAATAAAGAAATTCTTCACAAACAAATCGACGGAGAATCTCTCGATCAAGGCCAGTTTGCCGCCAGCCACATACATAAAGCTGGAAGGCCCGGGCGAGCCAAGAAGAGGGTATGCTGTCGCAGTGGTGCCCAGAGAGACGCACGCAGACAATTTGGGTTTTTTTTGGGGGAGAGAGGCAGGTTCATGCAGCGAGCTTGATCTGCGGACTACAAACACATCTGCAAAAGAAACACATATTTGTGGAAATTATGCACTACACTCACCAGTTGTTCTTATGATTGTTGTGCCTTCAAGGAGAGTGTTTCTTTTTACGATTCGGGTTCAATTGACTTAATGCTTGACAGTCTTGATGATGATAATTGTGATACTCAGTTACAAGAAGAACAAAATGATTGATTGATGTAAATATATTGATATGAATGAATATGTGTAGCTCGTGCCGGTGTGAGTAGACTGGTGTGCTTGACCTGAAGCGCTATCAGATCTGAGAGTGATTATCAATTTCTTACAAATCAGGGCGGGGTGGATGTATGCTTAAGTTCGGATGCGGATGAGGATTCGGCGATCGAGATGAGTTTTTTTTTTTTGCTGGTTGATGGTGTACTCGAGTTGATAATTGCTGGGGACACACAAAAGGGAGAGAAAGCCCGCCAAAATGTTATCGATGCTTGAGTCCCCCCAGTTTACTTTCTTGAGAGATGTCGAAGTGGGTTGGGATCACTCTTCCAAGCAACTTGGTAGATGAATCAAATTTTTGAGTAAGATACTATTTTGGTTGGGTATTACTGACGTAGCGCTATTATTCAATTAGGAGGCTATGAACCTGTGGATTGGATAGCTGATTTTTCTGGGAGGGAAAATTACTGCATGGGTGACACTGACAAGGTCTACTTATTCGCGAGCTTTCCCTGTGCACCTAAACGAGCCAAGCCGAGGGAGATAAGGTCGACGGGAAGAACGTCAAACGCAGAATGGGTAGGTCGGTCTCGTATCAAAGGGAAGTGTAGATGTTGTATTTAGGTGAGGCGGGGGGACGAGGGTTTGAAGGAATGTGCGTTTGGATGTTTGTGCGTGTGGTATAGAGCGCAGATGGACGACGTGATATGAATGGGTGAGTCGATTGACGAAATGAATGCCAAGAAAATGCTAAAAAAGAGGCTTGTTGTGCCGAGTTTGCGCGCCCAAGGAGGCAAAGACTGTGATTATAGATATTATCGGCTAATATTGGAGACGAGGGACGAGATGATGATTAGATCTTCGTAGGTAAAGGCTGATTATTATTAGGGATCAAATGTGTACGTCTTCTCTCTGTGCAGATGGCTACTAGTGCCTGCTAGTTGAGTGAGCGAACCATTCATGCACAAGGATCGTAGCGGCACAAAATTGAGCTGATGATGATGCTGGACGTGGCTTGATGAAGTGTTGGTGAAGCCGAGAGAGCCTGGATGTTGGCTCAAGCTTTTAATTGGGCCTTGGGTGATCTGGATTCTACAATTCCTGTCAGCGGGTCCAACAAGCAGGCTAAAGTGGGATTTTAGGGTGTCGCAATGCCATCTCGATCAAGCGAGGAGTAATAAAGAGTTCCAGAGTTGGATGGGCATGTGCTCAGAAGGGATAACGATTACTATAATTATGAAACTATGATTGCGGGAGGATATATGCAACTCTGGACACTGAAAGAGAGAATACTTGAGGTGTTTATCGTATCGTAAGACTCAAGAGTAGGTCGAGTGAGAGAGGAAAATAATTACTAGAGAATGAAAGTGGACAACGCGATAAAGAATATCGTTCCAAGAGTAAATAATTTATATTCAATGATCCTCGGTAGACTAGTTTCTGAAAAGTCCAAGTCCCGGGACGATTGAAGAGGGGGCCGTCGATGCAGATGAAGAAGCACTTGAATATTTAGATACTAGATAAATAAAATTGTATCCACTATGTGCGCATCGAGCGAGCAAACTGATTGGCCTGAGTTGATTGGGAAACGTGATGGGTTACCCCGCGTCCTTTGGTCGAGTGTTTCTATCGATTTCTATCAGATCAACTGATTGATTGGCCGCGTAACTCGGAGTCAAGCCTGGTACATCACCGGTCACATGAGCACCGCGGAGGAATCGAGGATGAGTAAAAGTCAGAGCGAAGCATCAGTCCATAGCGCCCATGACTGCAGGCCGCAGATGAGAAAAAATAAAGCAGACACTTGCCAAGGCCCAGGGAGAATCGCATAGACCGCTACCCTCCATCGCTTCAAGAACTGTACATTTGTATGATAATGGCATATCAAGCTGTTTGAATTATGTTTCTCAAGACCACAGGTTGAGAAAGACGTACGCGCATTGGGTATCATCAGGTCTTGAAATCTGTAACAGTGGTAGAGTAAGAGCGACCTCGTCACACGCTTAGTTACTTGTCAACATACACACCATGATGAAGATTATGGCCACGTTAGAGGATCAGTTTGCCAAGGAGTTGAGACACTGGTCGGTGTGCATATCTCTCAAACTACATAGTCGACTCGGCCGATCAACAATCGATAACGCTTATGTTTGCCGACCCGACTACATACTCTTATTAGAGAAGACTATAAGCCAGACGGCTCGACGACCACCGCCGTGGGCCAGATGATGACGCGCAGATCAAAAAACCGACCCAGAACCCATCATCTCCTTATGGTCATTAGACCACTCAGCAGAGGAAGCCGGCTGGACTCTGCGCACGTGAGCTTAAAGGACAAGTATTAAGCTAAGAATGAGGTGGATGGTACATGGCTACGGACCCCTCGATGATGGTGAAGTATTCGGCTCTATGACGTGTTTGACGAGCTTTCTTGCAGTCAATCTGTCATTGCAACCAGCTCGGCTGGATTAAAGAGCTACAGTGCCCCTGACCGATATCAAACTGAGACAATTTTATAAGACGTATCCATACACCCTGGGCGGCCAGGTGAATACATATTTAGCTATATCAATCGGGGTGAAGATAAAGCTAAACATCGAAACACGTTCTCCATAACCGAGCCGAGTTGCTTCGAGTAACGAATTATGCTTCTCTTGGCAATCGATGGAATCTTGCCTGGGCCCAGTCTAGCATCGGACTCTCATGGAGGGTGATTTTTTGGTGAGAATCTGTGACGATACATACTATTTGATCTAGACCACTCCAGGGCTCAAAAGGAAACACGAGACCGATCAGGATATGCCCACCAGCTACTACCGTGCCAGCGCCCGTAGTCATGTTGAGAGGCTGCCAATTGCCACTCGAAGAAATATTTTGATCAAGATCCCGAGAAGATGGTGAACTACTTGTCGCCTGGCGGAAGCTCAGCTGGAGCCCTGCCTGCTTTCAAAAACTTTCATTGACCATCACTTGATTTTGAACCTTTTGTTCAATTGCATATCTTGATGCTATCTTTTGATTTCGCCATTCGTGTTCGCTATTGATTTCTCTCTAACAACTTCCACCAGGAAGTATTTTGGATTTAACTGATAAAAAAAGAATAAGAAAAGAGTTGAACCACAGAGTTATACTTATAAGGTATGAGCGCGATGTGAGAGCCATGAGCCATGAAGCTCTATCCGGCTAATGCTACGGAAGAGAGAACGAGGGAGTCTTTCCGCAAGTCGGGGAGAGTCGTGATGAAAGTCATAAGCAGAACATGGAAATTAGGCAGTGTGTGTTGACATAACTACGGACTGCATCAACCTGCAAACTTGAATATTGCCCGTTCATTTGAGTTTTTCTGCAAGTCTCCTCTAACTAATACTTTCGCTTTGGGGAAGCTACTGTGTCCATCGACTTGGACAACGGTGGCAGGGTTTGATATAGATTTTTTCTGTCTCTGGTTGCCAAAGATTGATTTCGAGAGTCATCCAGTCGGATATGTTTTTCTATCCCCAACTTGCTTTGATCCTGTTTGCAACTGGTGGAGGCTTCCCCCCATGACACCATGTTTTCCACATTTCTATGGCTGAAATTTCGTTTCCTTCACTACGTTCTATCAAACAAGCTGGAGTCAACATTTTATCGGCGCGATAGCTATACAATCCCCAACTACTCCCTTGATTAGACAATTCAGTTGATATCACTTTACTAAGTAGGTAGTGACTTGCTTCAGCAAGAGTGCCCCAGATTGTGTGCTCTTACACAACAGCCGCATGCACGGGCGCATTTTCCAGGGTAGAATACCCAACTACACGGCACATCTTACGCTTCGTCTAGAAGAAGGTCCATATCAGACATCCCACCTCACATTTACGCGACAGATCTTGAGTGCATCCTTCTTTTCCGGGCTACTTTTCGATCCTTGAGCTGCAAAGATTCCTTTCTTTCTGCCTTTGGATTAGGATATGTCGTGTAATAGTTTGTCGCCAATTTACTCTCCTTGAAAGAGAAAAGCCAACCTTGTGCTCTTCCAATCTTATTATTTGTATGGAAAGATGCAACCAGTGCTTTTCAAGCTCCGATAACAATTCATTTCATCGCTCATGGTCACACCTACCCTATTTATTGAAGAGCAAGGTTGACTACTTGATGGCAGAAATTTTAGAAAAGTGTCAGGGGGTGCCCAAACTGAAAACTGCAGGGATTGTTTGCTCAATCCCATTTTGTAAGAGAATCAGCCCCATCACTCATGATGTGAGACGAAGGAGGGGATGCTTTGGAGAGTCCTCAGAGTCATTGTTCACATGTTTTATGAAGTTGAGTACTGCATAGGAGCTCATAGGAGATGTCGACAAAGTCACAGAGCATTGCAAAGGTTCACGGTTGGCGATATCCGCGGTAACTACGGCCACTTCCTTTGGGCCCAACTGAGTTTCAAGAAACAAACTGCTAATGTGATACATACACATCCCAATCAACGTGTCTGATCAGGTAAATATTGGTATACGCGCGTTAAAACGCATACTGACGGTGTCCAGGAACGCCGAAGACATGATGCTCTTGAGTTTATACACTCAAGAACGTAAATGTTTGCTTGTTCTAGAAAATCTTTGATCTTGGCGTCGTCATTCTCTGGTAAATCTTCATCAAGCTTCATCAACGATGATCCGACAGATTGCTTCGCATTCACCGAGGTGCCAAGAAATATGGAAAACGATAGCATAAGCATCCATGCACGGTGTATCTTTTTTCATGTTCTGCATGAGGTTTCTGAGGCCTCCACGTGCATATTGGGGTGATTACGATTTCCTGCCCAATAAGAGTTCTTTTTTGGGGTCCCGTTCTTTGGCTGGATTCATTCGGATACTTGATCTGAGTTCGAAAACACCAAGCACCGAACTTGAGGCTGTGACCCGAACGCAGGCCCCGGGGTCTCACCCCGAGGAGTGACTCCGGGGCCCAGGGCATCGGGATGGGTCTTGTGCACCCCGAACCCTGGGGCATTGACTTTTCTTGCAGGTGTAATAATTGACAGAACCCAATGAGGATAACCTATGATTTGTTTTAGATTTGCTTTAGCTCTACAACACACGACAAGACAACTGTTATCACCACAACACTGAGACACACCTTCGTAATGCAGAGCAATTGAGTTGAGGAGATTTTGGAAGAAGGACACAAGATTTAGACACTGATCAGTCTTTACTTCACTTTTTATCAATATTCTTGTGTGAAAAAAAGAAATAAAGAAAAACAACTTGTATAGAATATGAATTAGAAAACATAGTATAAAAGAAAATGATTTAGCAAACCTATGGTTTGTTTTAGATTTGTTTTAGCTATATGACACACACAAGACAACTGTTATCACCACAACAATGACACACACCTGAAAGATAGATAAAGAAAAGAATAAAATAAAAATCAGATACAGCTATTCCAAGAATGCTTGTGCAACTCGGCCTCAAATTTTTATTTTTATTTTTCATTTTTTTAGGGGGTTGGAAAAATGACTCCCTAATATTCGCCAACGACTCCCATTTTGGTCGAGGGGTTGTCAGACGGGAGTTGTCTTTCCAATCCCCCCCAGGGGATTGGGAGTCGACCTCCCAATTGCATTTTATTTTATTTTTTATTTTTTGGGTGGGAGTTGGCGCCCAAAACCCTCCTTGGCATGTGGGAGGTTTGGGAGTCGGCTCCCTCCAACTGGCCGGGGGGATTCCCTCGTGTCATGGAGACTGTACAGTCTCCATGACCCCAGGGAATCCGTCCCGGCTGGTGGGACTTGGAGGGAGGCGGGTCTCAATGACCGGAAGGGATCCCTTCCGGTCATCAAGACTGTTGTTGTTTCTCCTCGACCAGAAGGTCGATGGAGTTATTATGCCTCATCAACTGGAAGGGATTCCTTCCCGGCAATGAGGCTGTTACACCTCATCAATCAGAAGGAATTCCCTCCAGTCAATGGGGTTGTTACACCTCATCAACCTCAAGTAATCCCTTCCGGTCAATGAGGTTGTTATACCTCATCGACCAGAAGGATTTCCTTCAGGTCAATGAGGTTGTTGTACCTCATTGACCGGAAGGAATCCCTTCTTGTCGATGAGGTTGTTACACCTCATTGATTGGAAGGAACTCCTTCCAATCAATGAGGTGTAAC